AGACCACTCGGCTTTCGTATGTGATTGAACACATGTCTCCTGAAATGCTAAGATGCACAATGGTGTTGGCGTGCTTGATGGCCCACCTTGTAGTATTTGACATAGCTTTTGGTCGCGTGCTGGTGGTTCGATGTTTTCGACAGTTGCGCGCGAGTGGCCAGCATGGCTTCTCGTTTGAAAGAGTTGGGGAATCACATGGCGTCGCATGGTTTCGGCAGCTGCGCTCGTTCACACTATTAGCATGTCTGCGTTACGAAGCCAAGTGTTCTTCACAACGCATGACTCGCAATGTTCCCCAATCAGTGTTTGCACTGAAGAGGTCCTAGTGGAAATTGAAAGATGTTGCGAAAGTTTCCCGCCGGTTTTTTTCCGGCTGGAGTCCCGGGTTCCCAGTCCCGGGTTCGCGGGTTCCTGGTTATTGGTTCCGGGCCGATTTCGGTGGGTTACGGGTTCCCGGGGTCCCGGTCGATCTCCTTCTCGATATCTTTATCGACCCCACGATTCATTATCGATCTCATGATCGATCTCATCAAAACATCCATTGATTGGTGTTTCTAGCTGGTGTAATTCCCAGCCATCTTGTGGTGTTGGGTCCTCGTTTTGAAGAGACGGTCCCCGCGTTCCTCTCCTCCTCTCCTCTCCTCCTCTCGTGGCCCCATACGGGGCTCCACCGACGCCCCCAGTGGCACCGCCCGCAGGCGTCCGCCACCACCCAGCACAGCCCTTGCTCCCTGCGTTTCACCCACCCAGTACAGCGCTTCGTGGCCCCATACGGGGCTCCACCGAAGGTCCCAGTGGCACCGCCCGCAGGCGTCCGCCACCACCCAGCACAGCCCTTGCTCCCTGCGTTTCACCCACCCAGTACAGCGTTTCGTGGCCCCATAGAGGGCTCCACCGAAGGTCCCACTGGCACCGCCCGCAGGCGTCCGCCACCACCCAGCACAGCCCTTGCTCCCTGCGTTTCACCCACCCAGTGCAGCGTTTCGTGGCCCCATAGGGAGCTCCACCGAAGGTCCCAGTGGCACCGCCCGCATGCGTCCGCCATCACCCAGCACAGCCTTTGCTCCCAGCGTTTCGCCCACCCAGTAAAGCACTTCGTGGCCCCATAGGGAGCTCCACCGAAGGTCCCAGTGGCACCGCCCGCAGGCGTCCGCCACCACCCAGTACAGCCCTTGCTCCATGCGCTTCACCCAGCACAGCGTTTCGTGGCCCCATAGGGGGCTCCATCGACGCCCCCAGTGGGCAGGCCCGCAGGCGTCCGCCACCACCCAGCACAGCCCTTGCTCCCTGCGTTTCACCCACCAAGTACAGCGTTTCGTGGCCCCATAGGGGGCTCCGCCGAAGGTCCCAGTGGCACCGCCCGCAGGCGTCCGCCACCACCCAGCACAGCCCTTGCTCCCTGCGTTTCACCCACCCAGTACAGCGCTTCGTGGCCCGATAGGGAGCTCCACCGAAGGTCCCAGTGGCACCGCCCGCATGCGTCCGCCACCACCCAGCACGGCCCTTGTTCCTTGCGTTTCACCCACCCAGTACAGCGCTACGTGGCCCCATAGGGAGCGCCACCGAAGAAGATATTCACAAGTGCGGTACTTACAACTGCATCTGGTTGGGTCTTTCGCCAGGCGAATGTTCTTGACAACGCATGTCTCGCAATGTTCTCCAAGTATCGAAGACGCCTGGTGTTTGACTGATGTTGACGTGTGCGCGCGGCTGTTCGCGCACACGTGCCCCGCATCTTGTACAGCCGCCCACGGCAAGTCCCGCCACCAGTCCTGGGGCGTGGGTATGCGAAGCTTCTTGGATGTTCGTTGGGATCTCGTGGGAGGTCTCGTAGGGGGCCTCTTGGAGGCAGTTGTGTTGCCTCTTGGGGGGCCGTTTGGGGGGCATATCGGGGCCTCTTTGGGGCCTATTGTGGGCCTCTTGGGGGCATCTTGGGGCCTCTTGGGCGCTTCTTGGGGCCTCCTGGGGGCCTCTTGTGGCGGAAGGCTGGGGTTGTCGGTTCGTGTTCTCTCTCTCTCTCTCTCTCTCTTGGACCCTTTTTTGGAGCCGTTTTGGGCCCATTGGGGGGCCGTCTTGGGCGTGTATTGGGTTGCCTTGGGGCGTTCTTGGGCAGTCTTGAGGCCCTCTTGAAGGCCTTTGTGGGTGTCTTTGGGCCTCTCGGGCAGTCGTGGAGCGTCGGAAAGCCGAAAAGGCGGGAACGCCAAAATCCTTCGAACATCCACGGAGCATCCATGATTTTTGCATCTTGGGGGCCCTCCTGGGAGGCCTCTTGGAGGCCTCTTTGGGCGTTTGGGGGGCCTCTTGGGCAATCCTGAGGCCATCTTCGGCGTCTTCGAGCGATCGTTCGGCGACTCGGGGCCCCCTGGGACCGTTTTGGGGGCCTCCTGGTCCGTCATGGAAGCCTTGGATAGACCCAGAGGGGCGCCATAGCCGCCCAGGGACCCCCCGAGAAGTGGCGGGGACGCATGCGGGCTGCCCCGTACGGGCCTTGGGTGGAGCTCCTGATGTTGCCATAACGTTTGAGGGATGTGCCTAAATGGGTGGCGGCTTCCCATGGGGCCACGACGCGTGTGAGGGGTGTGTCGGAATGTGTGGCGGGGACGCATGCGGGCTGCCCCGTACGGGCCCTGGGTGGAGCTCCCTATGTTGCCACGAGACGCATGGGGGGTGTACAGACATGGGTGGCGAGGACGCATGTGGGCACCACAATTTCGGCCTTGGGTGGAGTTCCCTGTGGGGCCCCGAAGCGTGTGAGGGGGGTGCCGAAATGGTGGCGGGAACGTTTGCGGGCAGCACCATGTGGGCCATTGGTGGAGCTCTGTATGGGGCCACGAAGCGTGTGAGGTACGTGCCGACGTGGGTTGAGGGGACGCATGTGGGCGGCACAATTTGGGCTTTGGGTGGAGCTCCCTATGTTGCCACGAGATGTGTGATGGGTGTGCCGGAATGGGTGACGGGGACGCATGCGGGCGGCCCCATTTAGGCTTTGAGTGGAGTTCCCTATGGGACCACGAGGCGTGTGAGGGATGTGCCGACATGGGTGGCGGGGGACGCATGCGGGCGGCACCTGCTGGGCCTTGTGTGGACGTCTTCCTCGGGCCACGAAGCGTGTGAGGAATGTGCCGACATGGTTGGCCGTTGCGGAGGGCAGAAGCAGGGATGGGAGGAGAGAGGAGCGGGAGGAGGGGGAGGAGGAGGAGTGAGGAGGAGGAGGAGGAGGAGGAGGAGGAGGAGGAGGAGGTGAGACGCGGAGCGCTGTCTCTTCAAAGCAAGGACCCAACACCACCGGATGGTTGAGAAAATGCTAGCCTGGCGAAGGACCCATCCATACGCAGTTGGGTAACGCAGTTGTGAGTATCATCTTCGGTTGAGCTCCCTATGGGGCCACGGAACGTGTGAGGGTGTGCCGGCATTGGTGGCGGGACGCTTGTGGGCACCGCAAGTGGAGTGGAGCTTCTTATAGGGCAACGAAAGGTGTGTGTGCGTGTGCCGAAATAGGTTGAGGGGACGTTCGTGGACTGCGCCACTGGGGCCCTCGGTGGAGCTCTCTATGGAGCCACGAAGCGTGTGAGAGCGTGCCGAAAATAGCGGCGTGGACACATGTGGGCACCGCCACTGGGGCCTTCGGTCGAGCTCCCTCTGGCGCCACGGAACATGTGCTGGGTGTGCCGAAATGAATGGCGGGGACGGGTGTGGGCGCCACCACTGGGGCCTTCGGTGGAGCTCCTTTTGCGGCCACGAAACGTGTAAGAGGCGTGCTGACATGGGTGACGGGAACGCATGTGGGCACCCCCACTTGGGCTTTGCGGAAATCGGTGTCGGGGGTACATGTGGGTACCGCCACTGGGGCCGTCGGTGGAGTTCCCATTGGGACCACGAATCGTGTAATGGATGTGCCGAAATGGGTGGCGGGAACGCGTGTGGGCGCCAGAGGGGCGTTCTACAGGCCACGAAGCTTGTAAGGGGGGGCCGAAAGGGGTTGCGCGGACGCATGTGGGCACCGCCGCTGCGGCCCTGGGTGGAGCTCCTTACGGGGCCACGGCGCGTGCGAGGGGGCTGCCGACATGGGTTGCGGGGACGCATGCGGGGGGCACCATTTGGGCTTTGGGTGGAGCTCCCTCTGGAGCCACAAGACGTAGGAGAGGTGAGCCAGAATGGGCGGCGGGGACGCATGCGGGCCGCCACATGTGGGCCTTGGGTGGAGTTCCCTGTGGGGCCACGAAGCGTGTAAAGGGTGTGCCGAAATGGTTGCCGGGGACGCATGCGGGCGACACCTTTCGGGCCTTGGGTGGAGCTCCCTTTGGGGCCACGGAACGTGTGAGGAGTGTGCCGACATGGTTGGCCGTTGCGGAGGGCAGAGGCAGGAACAAGAGGAGGGAGGGGCGGGAGGAGGGGGAGCTGGAGTGAGGAGGGGGAGGAGGAGGAGGGGGAGGAGGAGGAGGAGGAGGAGGAGGAGGAGGAGGAGGACGACGACGAGATGAGACGCGGGGCGTTGTATCTTCAAAACGAGGACCCAACACCACGGCATGGTTGAGAAAAATAGCCTGGAGAAAGACCCAACCATACGCAGTTGTGAGTAACGCTGCTGTGAGTAGCATCTTCTGTGGAGTTCCCCATGGGATCACGAAACATGTGAGGGGCGTGCCGAAATGGGTGGCGGGAACGTATGTGGGCACCGCCTCCGGGGCCATCGGTGGAGCTTCTTATGAGGTCACGAAACTTGTAAGGGGGGTGTCGAAATAGGTTGTGGGGGGCGTTTGTGGACTGCGCCACGGGGGCCCTCAGTGGAGCTTCCTATGGAGCCACGAAACGTGTGAGGAGTGCCGACATGGGTAGCGGGGACGCATGTGGGCACCGCCACTGGGGCCTTGGATGGAGCTCCCTGTGGGGCCACAAAACGTGTGAGGGTGGTGCTGAAACGGGGTGGCGGAGAAGGTGCCCAAAAGGGGGCCGCTTGTCAACAAAGAGCACGACCACGGGGCAAGTCCAGAGCATTCCGTAGGGTTGCTGTGATTTGGTTCAGCGCGGTGCCACTTCGGGGGGCGGCGAAGATACCACAAACAGCCGCATCATTTTTGGTTTTCCGCCATGGTTCCCACTACATTGAGTGGCATTGGGTCGCTAATTTACGATTGTGTTGAGAGGGTGGAAGTCCCTAGGAAGATCGTAATCCGGAACATTCGTGTTGGAATGTTCTTGCGTTTGCTTCAGGTCGGAACTTTTGGAGGTTTGACCATGGTGATCCTCGTTAGTAGCTCTTGGAACAGGACAATCGAGCCCTCCAATTTCAAGCTTCTGGGTCAGTGGGACGACACACTGGAGTCGGATTACAACGCAGCGGACCGGGCGGACTGGACAAGCACGGTCTGCACGAATACCGAGTCGTACGATTACGTGTATTCGGATAGTTGGCGGTACGGGGGCTACTCGTGTCATACCCCGACGAAGTCGGAGAGGTTGATGAGAGTAGGCGATAAAGACATGTACTTCCCCACATCCTACGAGGAAACCCACACGTCCCAGATACCCATCCCCAGCTCGGGCAATTGCACGGACACGGACATAGGGAAGTTTTGCATTGACGGTTGGAAGAAGAAGGTGACGACGTGCGAGTGTAGCGACTCAAGGTACTACCTCGTGACGGGCGTGGATGCCTTGCGCGTGGGCTTCATTCACGGATACACCGTCGGAGCGGCGCACGAGCAGCTGGCAAATTACCAGGGCAGTGCCCAGCAGTCCGACCAGACCTGCGGGAGCTCGGGCAGCAACCGCTGCGAGGCGGATAGCTCCAGCGGCAGCGAGACGAGGGAGATGAGGACCGTTCTTGTCCTGAAAAGGCCGGATGGGGAAGAGGAGCTGCTGGGTTACAAAGACGCTCCCGACGACGTCGCAGTCTCCCTGCACGACGTGCTGATTGCCTCGGGCCTTTCGCTGGACAGCCACGTCCAAACCAAGGAGAATCTGCTCAGTTGCCTGACGCGCGAGGACATTCGTGAGGAACCTTGCAGGCCAGATGTGCACAAGCTCCCCCGAGTAAGGCAGGTTGGCATGGAAATGGACATTCACCTGGATTATTCGAACCAGTATCATTATCCAAAGTTGCCCTGCGAGAACTGCCTCGAAGGCCATGTTGGGCCAGTGTGTAAAGCCACGATCGAGGTGACCCCTTCGTGGCAAAGCCGTCCACAGACCGACTGCAGGCAGGGCGATGTCGAGGGATCAACAGATTGTTGGTCCCGCTATGCGTACGGCATCCACATAACTTGGCGCAGTACTGGTAAATTCGGATACACGGACCCAGTGTACGTGATGGTAACATTGGCAGCTGCTCTGGTGTATCTCGCGATCCCGCTTGTTGTCATAGAGTACTTGACGTTGTATTTCCTGGGCATGCAGTCGACTATGTATCGTAAGGCAAGCAGGGACGTTGTCACTCTGCAATCGCAGCTTTCTGACCTGCTGTACCGGATGGTGTCATCCCATGCTGTGTTCCGGGCAGTCAAGTGCCCAACAGACGAGAACATACCAGGTGAGTCTTTGAAGCATTTCATCAAGCAGCACGCCCTTGTGGGTCAGAAGGACAACGACGTCCAGGTCATAGAGATGGAACACAGATTCGCTACGACGGCGACGGCGGCGACGACGATGGCATCGACAACAGGGAAGGTAATGTCAGCATCGCCAGGCGACGACGACGACGACGATGATGATGAGGATGATGATGATGGTGATGATGATGGTGATGATGATGATGCTCATGATGATGATGATGATGATGATGATGATGATGATGATGATGATGATGATGATGATGATGACGATGACGATGACGATGACGATGACGATGACGATGACGATGACGATGACGATGATGATCGCGATGAAGAGGTCGGAGAGAAGGAGCATCGACTCTTGGTCGAACTTCTCCTAGACGCCGCCACCGCGGGCGACGAGGGCTGCGCCGACTGCGTCACCCTGCACGAGTTCCTGAGAGCAGAGGCGCCGGATGTGGCCAGAGGTGACCCTGACCCACGGTGATCCCAGCTTTTTCCCCAGAGAGGCCCACAAGAGGCACCCAGGGCACCCCTCACCAAAGCCCAGAGGGCACCAGAGGCGTTGTAGAGGACCAAATTTCATCATCAGAGCAACTTCAGGAGATCCGAACGTGTCTGTTTGTGCCATTGTTGGTTCCTCGACCCCAGAATGCTGCGAAGAGCTGAGGGTACCTTGGGCCAGGAGCACCTCCAGCGACCTCCAATCCGAGGGTGGCGAGTTTAACTTGGATGTCCAGGACGTGCTGAAGCTCTGCGACGCGGAGCGGCAGAAGCAGCCCTTGGACTTCGGGGCAGCTAAAAGCACAGAGAGGCGCAGTCTCCCTTTCCTCCCTTTCCCTCCTCCTCCTCCTCCTCCTCCTCCTCCTCCT